ATCACAGGCTGCGGGATTTGAAAACTTGACATTAATATACATGAAAAATACATTTACTTAGTGTAAATATACCCCTGGGTGCATTTTTTTGGTCCTAGGACTGTTTTTTATGAAGTACTTACCCAAAGTTGAGTAAAAAAAACTTTTAAAAAGTTAATTTTGCATATTAGATACCCTTCTGCTCAAGATGTCAATCTGTTGCTGTGGTTTTATTTTTATCTGACAAACTTACAGTAAGCATTGTTTTTTAATCACACAACTTACACACTGTTTAATAAAACTGCCAGGTAACCATGATTAGTGAGCACAAATAACATTAGCCAAAATATACCTCCTCCTTGTACATCTGTAATGACAGATTATCATAGATTTAGGTAACTGTATTTTGCAAAGGGAACATGAACAAATACCTGTTGTTGATTCCGGACGCATTCAGTACATGGATCAGCTGTTTTTGTTCCATTGCAGAAACACTGAGGATGTGCAGATCATTGTGCTTTGTTGTCTTTTCTGTGTAGTTTTAAGTGTTGCCATGCTTTTTATAATTTGTCATTTTTCTGGGCGCTTTGTATCGGCACGATTGGTCTTCTAAAGCTAAATATAGAGCTTAGCAAGCATACACACGTGACGCATTGGCAGTGTAATCGTTAGTGGAAGCACTACCATCATAGCATTGTTACACAAATAACATTCTGGGCAGACGAAAGTGCCCTGATTATAACAGTATGTATTTTTACGAAGATTTGAGGCAGATAATTTGCCTCGAGGATTTTTTGTAATCGAATTACTCGAATAATTCGAGGAATCGTTTCAGCTCTAGATACATGTATAGAATACATGTGTAGAATTTGCTAAAATACAAACCTGGTATAAGCTTGATAAATTATCATTAAATTTAGATAAGACAAATTATGATATTTAATAATAGAAAGAAAGCAACTGATGTTCCATTTAGAATCCATGGTATTGAGATCTGTAGAGTCAGTGAGGTGAAGTTTTTGGGTTTCATCATAGATGAAACGCTGACATGGAGACCTCATATAAATCATTTAAGAACAAAAGTAGCCAAATCCATTGCAGTATTGTACAAAGTAAAGGATTTATTTAATGATAAAGTTCTGTTTATAATACAGTATATAATGCAGTAATTGTTCCACATTTGATTTACTGTATTGATGTATGGTGAAAATCATGCAAAACAATTACAAACCCAAATTTTGTTTTACAGAAAAGAGCTGTAAGAATTATCACCAGGAAGCATTACTATCACCCATCAAATTCATTGGGCCTCATGCAAGAACATGTTCGTATTCTTATCCTACATTTCTCTTACTTTTGTTCGTACAAAGGGTTCGTACGAACATGTCACGTCAAATTCAACAAACTCTTCTATCTTCAGGAAAAGTGTGTAAATGAG